AGGTCAACCAAGATTTTATTTTATTTTTTTCTTTTTTTGGGTCCGTTCATGGGGCCTGAACTCTGGGCCTGGGCGCTGTCTCTCAGCTCTTTAGCTCAAGGCTAGCGCTCTACCACTTGAGCCACAGCGCCACTTCCGGCTTTTTTCATTTTGCTTATGTGGTGCTGAGAAATCGAACCCAGGGCCTTGTGCATGCAAGGCAAGCGCTCTACCACTGAGCCACCTTCCCAGCCCCTCAACCAAGATTTTAAAAAATTATGAGACTTCATCTCAATAATTGGGCAGTGGGACGCTGGTGGCTCACACCTGTCATCCTAGCTACTCAGGAGGCTGAGATCTGAGGATCGAGGTTCAAAGCGAGCCTGGGCAGGAAAGTCTGTGAGACTCATTATCTCCAATAAACCACCAGAAAACTGGAAGTGGCGCTGTGGTTCAAGTGGTAGAGCGCTAGCCTTGAGCTGAAGAGCTGAGGGACAGCGCCCAGGCCCAGAGTTCAAGCCCCACGAACCACCAAAACAAGCAGTGGTATATGCCTATCATCCCAGCTACGGTGGAGACACAAATAGAGGATCGTGGTCCAGGCCATCCCAGACATAAAGCAAGATGCTATACGCTGTCTAGAAAATCACCACAGCAGCCCGGTGCTAGAGGCTCATGCCACCACTCCAGAGGCTGAGGTCTGAGTATGGAAGCGCAAAGCCAGCCCAGGCAGGAAAGTCCATGAGACTTACCTCCAGTTAGTCACAAAAGACAGCAGAAGTGGCGCTGTGGCTCAAGTGGTAGAGTGCTAGCTTTGAGCAAAAGAAGCTCAGGGACAGCACCCAAGTCCTGAGTTCAAGCTTCAAAACCAGCACCAAAAAGAAAAGAAAACCACCAGTGCAAAATCGAGAGGGAGGGAGGAGAATATAGTGTGTTTTTACAAGCCATTGGAGGGACGCTTGTACAAAAGAGAAGACTGGCGTGCGTCAGGGAGGAAGGGGGTGTGGAGCTGGCCAGGGACTGGCCTGGCTCGCTTGTGGAAGTGTCTGTCTCATGTAACCTTCCCCATGACTCAGAGGGACGTTGTAGCAGCTTGTTGAAGCAAGTCACTGGGGAGCTGTCTCGGGGCCCAGGGTGCTGGAACACCAAATCCCAGGGGGGCCCGAGGCACGCGAAGTCCAGTGTAGAGGGCACATTGAGGGCCAGCCTGGCCTTCAGGGATGAGCTATGGCTGTGAATGGAGAAGGAAGGCGGGGCGGGGCAGGGTGGCGTGTGGCAGCAGAGCACCTCTCAAGCCATTAACAGATCAGGTTGGTTTTTCACCGTGAAGCACCTCTGAAGAGAGGGGGAAACTCGTTGGGGCCTGTGGCTGCAGTCAAGCCTTCAGGGACAGAGGCTTCCAGGAAGTAGGGCTGTGTCTACCTTTCTTATTTCTGAAGGACCAGAGTGCAGACCCCTAGGTCTAGGACATGAAGGGAGGGGCATTCCTGCGTAGATCTGACTTCACAATGTAAATGAACTTTGGGTTCTGTACGGTGCATCATGCTTACAGTAGAGAACCTGTCCCACATTAAGGAGATGTGCCCAAAAGGTGGCTTGGATATCTGTGACTTTCCTTCCCTTGTCCTCTTAGCACAACCAGACCTGGAAAAGCATGCCCCCCCTGTGTCATGAGCCTGTGTCTGCTCCCCACAGAGGGGCCCGCAGCGGCCTGTGGGGGGGGACGGGAGCTATGGGAGCTCACAGCCTGCAGTGCAGAGCCAGGCCCGCAGATCAGCACAGACCTCCTGTTGTAACGGGAGGCCATAGGCCCGCTGGACACCCGGGGGCCGCATCCCGCCGCCCGGGGCATAGGGGGCCCGGGGCAGGATCTCTGTACTCCACTTCCTGCCCCGTGCTGCCTGTCAGGTGTGTTGGTCACATGAAGTACTGCACCACACTGCATTTTCTCCTTAGTGATGTTTCTTGTTAAATTAGGGCTTCTAAAAAAACAGCCTTTGTGGAAACATGGCAGTACTTTTAATAGGATTGCAAGAATCTTCAAATTGTTGTATATCTCAGAGCTCAGTGGTTTTCTTGAAAGTGGAACTGGGGCAAGCCTGTCCCAAGGATAGTAGGAGGATAATGTGTAAACCTCGAGACCTGTGAGACAGTCACTTACTGTGAATCTCTCCCTCTGCCATCAAGCCTCAGTAGAGAGTTGGTGTGTGTGTGTGTTTGTTTGCTGGGCTTGGGGCTTGGACTCCGGACCTGGGCACTGTTCCTGAGCCTCTTTGTGCTCAAGACCAGTGTTCAGTTGAGCCACAGGGCCACCTCCAGCTTTTTCTGAGTAGTTTATTGGAAATAAGAATCTCTGCCTGGTCTGGCCTCAAACTGCAGTCCTCATATCTCAGTCTCCTGAGTAGGTAGGATGTACAGGCGTGAACCACTGGGACCCAGCTAGAGGTTTTAAAAAAAAAATTTTTTTTTTGGGGGGGGGAGGTTGGTCATGGGGCTTGAACTCTGGGCCTGGGCGCTGTCTCTGCGCTCTTCAGCTCAAGGCAAGTGCTGTACCAGAGCTTGAGCCGCAGCGCCACTTCCGGTTTTTAAGTGGTTTATTGGAGATAAGAGTCTCACGGACTTTCCTCTCTGGGCTGGCTTTGAACCGCGATCCTCAGATCTCAGCCTCCTGAGTAGCTAGGATTACAGGCGTGAGCCACCAGCACCCAGCTTAGAAAATTTTAATTATTGTTGAAGTGTAACATACATTGCCAAAGTAACACATCCAGTTCAGTGTGTGGTTCAGTGAGTTTTGGAGAAATTTGTGCACATTTGGGGGAGGCATTACCATAGCCACACGTCACCTAGGAAGCCCCTCGCTACCCCAGCACTTCTACTGTCAGTCTTCTGCTCCAGGTCCAGAACCCGCTTCTTCCATTGCCTCTGCTGCAGCCTCAAGTCCTGAGGGCGATCTGCCCATGGCCATTCATACCCTGGGCTCTGCTGCCCTGTGCACAGAGCCAAGTGATGCTGTCCCCCGTGGAGACTGCTGCATTGTGGGAGCTGGAGGAAGCAGCAGTTCAGTGATAGGCCTTCGGGAGTTCTCCCTGCTGTGTCAGGTGGAAAGCTTCTCCTGCGGTCCTGCAGGCACCCTGCAGATGGGCAGCCAGGAGAGGGCCTTGCAATCAGGAATGAGCAGGCACGTTGGCCTTGGGCACTTGCCGTGGGCGCTTTACTTTTGTGTGTGAGTTATGAAGGCTTACCAGTGGATCTGGGGCCCACAGATATCTGGGCAGCTATAGCCTGGACTATCTTAAAACTAGTCACAGGGGCTGGGAAGGTGGCTCAGTGGTAGAGCGCTTGCCTTGCATGCATGAGGCCCTGGGTTCGATTCCTCAGCACCACATAAGCAAAAAAGAAAAAAGCCAGAAGTGGCGCTGTGGCTCAAGTGGTAGAGCGCTAGCCTTGAGCTGAAGAGCTGAGGGACAGCGCCCAGGCCCAGAGTTCAGGCCCCACGACTGGACCAAAAAAAATAAAAAAAAATCTAGTCAGAAAGTGAATAGCAATTTCATACCATCTTCTACCATGGCCAGCCTATGTTTAAGTTGCTCCAAAGTACTGTTTCCATTTTATTCCACTATAGGTTAGGCATTATTTTTTATTCTTTACCTTATTCTCTTTCACCTACTTTTGTATCTTTACTAACACTGGCTTTTTGAAAGCATCAGCTAGAGAATATCATGTGTCTGTGTTTGTCTGATATCATTTACATTATTGTCATATGTTGGGGACAATCTGAAACCAGGAACCTAAGCCTAAAGGCACATTGGTTTCAGGCCTACCATACTGGGCAGGAACTTAAGGGATTATGCTGTTTCTCACTGGTCAGCGTAACCGGTCTCGCCTTGGCCATCACAGAACCCTAGATGACGAGATGCTTCACCTTACACCTGCCCACACCTGTTGACTTCAGCGCCTTCCGTGACTCTTGCTGGACTTAGTCATTTCCTTTGATGGTTTTCAAAACAGTGACTTCCTGATTCTATCATAATGTCTGCTTTTATTGACATTTGTGTTGTTCTGTAAAAAAGATCTTTTCTTCAACCACATAGATCCTCCTTTTCCTTTAATGACCTATTCCCAACTCAAAGGTAAAAGAGTTCTGCTTCCCCTGTTGTCAGAGCCTAGCACTTGGCCTTCCTTCCTGATTTTCTTTTTTCTTTTTTTTTTTGCTGGTCGTGGGGCCTGAACTCTGGGCCTGGACACTGTCCCTCAGCTCTTCAGCTCAAGGCTAGCACTTTACCACTTGAGCCACAGCGCCACTTCCAGCTTTTTCTGCTTATGTGGTGCTGAGGAATCGAACCCAGGGCCTCATGCATGCAAGGCAAGAGCTCTACCACTGAGCCACCTTCCCAGCCTTCCTTCCGGGTTTTCTCCATGCTTTCCTTCCTCCATCCTCGTTTTCTTCCTTCCTTCCTTTGAGTAGAACAAAAGGCCAGAAATTCGTAGCCTGGCCTGTGTTCTGTCTTCATTTAGAAGACTGGTCGTCACCTGGTTTGAGGCCTTGGCGTTGCTCAGAGTCTGTGTTCGATGGGAAGAAGCTGCGTGTGCCTCGTGCTCTGGCAGTGAAGCCAGCGTGCAGCATCTAGCACTCACCAGCCCCAGTCCGCCGTGTTGCTCTTAGAGAACAAGGAATGGAAGCCAGTGAGCCATGCTGTCTGCTTTTGGCAGACACCAGACCAGGACTGGGAGAGTCGGGGTGAGGCCTTGGTACCTCTTGCAGCGGAAGAGCCACAGTGAAGAGACTGATACAAGCCAGAGAGAAACTGGGACTGTTGGGGAGCTTGAGAGCAGAGAGGGGCAGGAACCAGAGGCAGGCTTCCCTGACTCGGCCTCACGCTGCTTCCCTTCTTCACTGTAGAGTGGAGACGACTGTGCCTTCCTTCCTTCACGAAAGGCCACTGTGGACCTTGTCCACCTCCCAGGTCAGTGGATGGAGGAGGAACTAGCCACCGGATGACACTTATCTCCTCTCCCTGCAGGTGTGAATGACAGAGGTGGTGCCATCCAGCGCCCTCAGCGAGGTCAGCCTGCGCCTCCTCTGCCACGATGACATAGACACTGTGAAGCATCTGTGTGGTGACTGGTTCCCTATTGAGTAAGTGATTGCCCGAGGCCATGGCAGCCGGGGAGGGCGGGGCAGAGGAGGGAAGACACACAGCTCTGCAGCTGCTCAAGCCGGAAGGGGCCATGATGCAGACGCAAGGAGTGGACCTGGAGGGCCTGGGCAGTGGACTGCAGGTCACTGTGGCTCTGGCGTCTTTACAGCTTGTCTGCTTCCTCGTGTGACACTCCCTAAAAGGGATCTGAGGAGAAACTTTAGTTCTTTTTTTGGCCTTTCATGGGGCTTGAACTCTGGGACTGGGCGCTGTCCCTCAGCTCTTCAGCTCAAGGCTAGCGCTCTACCACTTGAGCCACAGCACCACTTCCAGGTTTTTCTGCTTATGTGGAGCTGAGGAATCGAACCCAGGGACTCATGCATGCAAGGCAAGCACTCTACCACTGAGCCACCTTCCCAGCCCCGTAGCAGGTTGCTCTTGAGCACATTGCTCTTGAGGTCATCTCCCTGATCCTGTCCACCCCTGTCTTCAGAGCAAAACGCCTGATAGAATTTTTTTAGGAAGTTATCTGAGTGTTGGAAGGTCACCCAAAGTTCCAAAATCACAGCTCATCCAGCTAAGGAGCAGGCGGCCATGTGCTACCCCCTGTGGACTGCTCTGTGGAGACACTCTGGTTGGAGTTTCTTTCCGTCTTCTCATATGTCAGGGCTGATCAAGTCATTTTGGCTTTTTTTTTTTTTTTTTTTTTTGGTCAGTCATGGGTCTTGAACTCTGGGTCTGGGCACTGTTCTGAGCTCTTCAGCTCAAGGCTAGCACTCTACCATTTGAGCCACAGCGTCGCTTCTGGTTTTCTGGTGGTGAATTGGAGATAAGAGTCTCATGGACTTTCCTGCCTGGGCTATTTTTGAACCCCAGTCCTCAGATTTCAGTATCTATGATAACTGGCGTGAGCCACCAGTGCCCGGCTTGATCAAGTCATTTTGGTATCATCAATTCCCATTCATATCTGGGAAGAAGGTTGCTTTGAAAAGACCTCTGTGCTAAGAGATGAGCAAGCACCCTGTGCCTCACCTGAGTCTATTCCCTCCCCCAGGTACCCAGACTCATGGTATCGTGATATCACATCCAACAAGAAGTTCTTCTCCCTTGCTGCAACCTACAGAGGTGCCATCGTGGGAATGATAGTAGCTGAAATTAAGAGCAGGACCAAAATACATAAAGAGGTGTGTCTGCTGTGGTGGGATGGAGAGGTGTATGGAGGGGAGGCCTGCAGAGGAGCTGTGCTGCCCATTCTGCAGCTTGGGTCTTAGGAGCCTGCAGGTCCCAAGCATTACCCTCACTTCCTCTCTTTCTCTTTAGGATGGAGATATTCTAGCCTCCAGCTTCTCTGTTGACACACAAGTTGCATATATTCTAAGTCTGGGAGTCGTGAAAGAATTCAGAAAGCATGGCATAGGTAAGGGAGGACAAGTTCCTCATTTGGGCATTCCCCAGCCCCTCACCCTGTCAGTCACTTCCTGTGTCCTTAGAACTCCAGCTCCTAAAGGACCCCTGCTCGTTTTCTCCTCCCGCCCCTTCTCCCCGCGCATTTCCCACCCTGCTGGCCCAGGCCTTTCCATGGTAGCCTCCTTCCCAAATCTGCCACAAACAGAGCAGCAACAGCTCCCAGAACAGTCATGAGGGAGCAGGTCACTCTTAGCCTTCCTCTTGTCACATACTCGGTTATGTCTGTGGGCAAGATGTTCTGGATTCAGAATTGAAAACAAGCATAAATTTAAAAAATAGCACTCACTAGTGTTCATTAAACACCATGACATCAGATTCCCATCCACTCAGCTGCTCGGCAGTGAGCAGCCGTCCTGCTTCTGAACACACGCTCCCCGATCCTATCTCCTGAGGCTGCAGTTTACGCTGTTGTTGAAGATTGATGAATCTCTGTTGTGAGTCCAGCCCACAGGAGGGTACCTCCAGGCCACATCTGTGGCCCACAGTGGTCTGCAGCCTACAAGCTCCATGTAGCCTTGATCTTTTAAGGGCTTTAGCAATAGGAAGTGCCCACAGAGTGACCTAGATGCCTCCAGAGGTCACAGCCTGGTCTGCATCCTCCTAACTCCGTACGACCTTTTCTTCTTCTCCCAAGGGTCCCTTTTACTTGAAAGTTTAAAGGACCACATATCCACCACAGCCCAGGACCACTGCAAAGCCATCTACCTGCATGTCCTCACCACCAACAACACCGCGATTAACTTCTATGAAAACAGAGACTTTAAGCAGCATCACTACTTGCCCTATTACTACTCCATCCGAGGGGTTCTCAAAGATGGCTTCACCTACGTCCTCTACATTAATGGCGGCCACCCTCCCTGGACCATCCTATATCCTTTACTGCTGGGAATTGTGGGAGGTCTTGGCTTCCTGGTGGCCAAGGGCTGCAAGTGAGCTGAGGCCGAGGCCACTTACAGGAATGCTCTATGGCCTAGCTCTAGAGGTGCTGCTGCTCCCTGTTCTGGTTATGTGAAGCATGTGATCTGGTTGGTTAGAAAAGCACTTGGCATTCTCCAACATCAGCCCAGCAAGAAGGATGGGTTTTAAACCTTGGCCCCAAATCTATCCATTACTACAACAAATAGAATGGAGAGTCTCCAGTTGTAGGTGTGCTGGAGGTCAGCAGTAAATACAGCAGACCGTGCAGACGGGAGAAAAGAAACCATGGGGGTGGGCGGGAGACTGGTGGCCGGCCAATCACAGGGTTTCACCTGGAAGATACTACACGTGTTTGCATGTGTTTTCAAGTGAATGAGTCTCGGACTCATTCATTCCGGAGGATTAAACAGGAAACAGAGAAGTGGCCCAAAATTCTGTGGGCCTCCCAGCTCACATTAAGTCCCCTCGTATTGAAGGGATAGGGGTCTGTCTGTCCTGTTATGCTGAGGGTTAAGAGGCTGAGGGAGACCCAGGAAGAGTTGCGTCTTCTGGAGCCTGAGACTGAGCTCCTGTTCTCAGGTTCCACCATTATTTTCCACATTGGAGGCACATGTAATACAGCATTCTAGTGCTCTGAGAGTTTCGTGGGCCCTTGGGCCCGTTGTGCATGGTCCATTGTGTGTGCAGGGCCATGCTTCCGTGCACAGGCACAGGTGGGTCAGGCAAGCCCGCTTCCACTCAGGCTGCAGCATCTTCCTTGACGGAGCTCACGGATTACATCCATCACCTGGGCTCAGCGCTAGCCAACCTGAGCCCCTGCTCCATCCCACACAGAATCTACCGCCAGGCCCACAGCCTGCTCTGCAGCTTCCTGCCATGGTCTGGAATCTCTACCAAGGGAGGCATTGAGTACAGCCGCATCATGTGACGCCAGCCTGGCAGCCTCTACGCCCTGTGGAGACCACCTTCCTGTCCGTGTCACCTCTGCTGTCTTCTGCAAGGAGCTGACAGCCACCTGCCTGCCTGTTGGCCTGCCCCAGCTGCAGGTCAGGTGCTATGCGGGCTCAGGCGCAGAGCATGGGTCTTGTCTCCCGCAGGTAGGTACAGACATGAGGGTTCAGTGAACCTGGCACCTCCAGCCACACAAGCAGAAGTCCCTAGACAGTGGTCCGTAAGCACTTCCCAACAAGTCCGAAAGCTTTGCAAAGGAGAGTGGGGGGAGAGATACTTTAAGCCTCTCACTACAACTTGGATCTCCATTTCCCAAATTGCTTTTTTGCTAGATAATGCAATTTGAAAAGGTACAGAAAGCGTCCGATCTTTCCTATCCATGTCCCCTAACTGCTCGGCTCCTCAGGCAAGCGTACCCAGTGACCATGCATTATATCTGCTCCAGAATTGTACACATACCTCACCTGTAGCACCCTGCCACCAGTGCTTCTCCACATGGCATTGGTAGAGGTCCAGTGGTGCATCCAGGTCAACATTGGGAGGGGCCTCGGGACTCCCGAGTCCATCTCTGCGTGCTTGGGCTGTGCTCACATGGCAGGCCCCGTGGCCACCTTGGGGTGCACACCCAGGTATGTACTTTTTTGTGCCAGGACTAAGCCTTGTGACTACTGGCAGGACTGGGCTTTGGGGTGTCCTGGCCCAGCTGCAGCTCATAGACCAGTAGTGGGGTGGTTGAGTAACCACGGTGTCCTCATCCTGCCATGCTATCTTCCTTACAGGCTCCCCAGCTCCTTCCTGCTTCTGGAAACATCTCTTCCATGCAGTGCGCTGATCCCACCTCCACACACACCGTCCCCGTCGCCTAGCAGATGTGGCTGGATTCACTAGGGAGAGTCCCGCTCCGGGCCTCTCCCCCCGTGCTGCCTGCAGCCCCTTCCTGTAAAGCTGACTGAGGAGAGACAAGTGCTGCGGCACCCTTAACTCAAGATACAGAGGCTGCAAAAATAGTGGGTACAGTAAAAGGAATGCCAGGCCTTTGTCCTAGACCACCCAAAGAAGCCTGCAGGGGGGGAGGCCTGCAGGCCTCTGCTGCTGCTCCTCCACAAGAGGCTAGTGAGGGGTGGGCAGAGTGGAACTGGCTCTTCATGAGAGCGTGGAGCTCCAGAGCTTGGTGCCTGTCACAGGTGGTTAGCTACCAAGGCCGCGCTCTGCCTCCCCGAGGCGGCCTGCTGCCTGCTTGCTGTGGTCCGAGGGGGTCGGCCTGCCTGCGGGAGCGAGGTGTGCTCTGTGCCGCTGGCCTGTGCTGGGAGCTGGGCTGAGCAATGCCCACAAGGCTACCCGGATCTTCTGCCTGCCCTTCTATGAGCGGAGAGCTCTGAGGCCTAGCCAGGTCAGGTGGGAGGAGGAAGAGGCTGAGCACAGAGGTGCCACGGCTGCTGCAAACCGCAGGCGGTGGGCCGCTCCCCGCCCCCTCCGTGGGGTGAGTCATGCGCACGTCACTCCTCCAACACCCCACCCTTCTACACCAAGCCGCTTGCTGCCAGTCCTGCCCAGCACTCCTGAAGAGGGTCCGCATGGCCCCTCCCTCCACCAGCCTGAGGAGGAAGAGGGAGGAGCAGCTGGCCAAATGGGGCATCAGTGACTGAACGTTTCCCTCCCCAGCATCTCCTGGCTCATGGCTTCCAGGGAGCTGAAGCCAGCTCAGGCCTCCGTCTGACCTCACAGAGGGTAAGGCTCCTCACAAGGCAGGCAGGCCTGGCAGGAAAAGAAAAAAAAAACTGCAACAGTGCTGGCCAGCAGTGGCCATCCTGCCGCCTGGTGTTACTGTGGGCCAAGAACCCAGCCCCATGTCCTCGAAATCAATGGTGATCGTGTGATTTTCATTTCTACTCTGTGGTCAGGGAAGAATCTTCCAGAAGGTTCTTCCTTGGACATTCACAATCTAGCTCAGAGGCCTTGCCCTGCCTTCCCTCTTTCCTACCCCCTAATCAACTACTGCAGCATCCAGCCCAGTGTTGAACAGATTGTAGTGTTTCGTCTCATTACAAAATAAACAGACCTTAGCTGGTCACATCCTGCTCTAGCACCCACTTGCCAAACCATGTGGCCCCTGCCTGTGGCCAGGCCCGTGGCAGGGCTGCAAGCTGTTTGGCCACTGCTTGTTCTGAGGTGCGTCCGGCCAGTGGGTGACTTGTGCGATTAGTGCAGAGGAGTGCGATCCTGGGGCTGCTCTACAGCTGTCCCCACCCCCCAAAAAAACCCTGCTCCCTGGCCCCTCAGCTGTTTGCCTATAGCACCCCCAGGTGTCCCCCCCCCAAAGCCCTCCAGATCACAGAACAGGACCAGGAGATATTTCTGTCCCCACATGAAGGGAGGTGTGACTTCCAGAGAGGAGCAGAAGAGTCACAGCGCCATTCCGGGGCTTCAGACCAAGCTGGACGAGCAGCTGAGGCCCAGCCTGAGCCCCAGGAAGGGTGCGCACCTCCGTGCTGGGAGGATTGATTCTCCTGGGGCCCTGCATATGCCCCCTGAGGACGACCTCCCAGCCGCCCGTAGAAAGACCCTCACCCTTGTAGGCCTCCGTCTCCGCCACAAACTCATGGTTGTTGTCTCACCTAGTGTTTTGGTTTTTTTTTTGTTATTTTGTCAGTCGTGGGTCTTGAACTCTGGGTCTGGGCGCTGTCCCTGAGCTCTTCATTTCAAGGTGAGCGCGCTCTATCACTTGAGCCACAGCACCACTTCGTTTTCTGGTGGTCTATTGGAGATAAGAGTCTCATGGAGTCTCATGGACTTTCCTGCCCGGGCTGGCTTTGAACCATGATCCTCAGATCTCAGCCTCCTGAGTAGATAGGATGGCAGGCGTGAGCCACCAGCACCAGGCAACCTACTGTGTTTAAAATTGCTGGCAGCAGGGGCTGGGAAGGTGGCTCAGTGGTAGAGCGCTTGCCTTGCATGCCTGAGGCCCTGGGTTCAATTCCTCAGCACCATATAAGCAAAAAGAAAAAAGCCGGAAGTGGCGCTGTGGCTCAAGTGGTAGAGCGCTAGCCTTGAGCTGAAGAGCTGAGGGACAGCACCCAGGCCCAGAGCTCAGGCCCCATAACCAGACCCAAAAAAAATTAAAAAAAAAAAATTGCTGGCAGCAATGCTTACATTGGTGCTTGATGGGGCCTCACTGACGTGGTCCCCCACACAGCAACCCAGTATCCCACAGGGCTTTTGCACATCTTAATGTGTAGAGCTGAGTGTCTGCACACAAGCCAGTTTATAGCCGCTTTTCTACAGCAAGTGTGTTATACAGGGGGAAAGAGCCTGGACCAGGCTGCAGATGACTCCTGCAGCCTACTTGGCAGCCATGTTTTCACAATTCAGTGGTCAGAACAGGAGTCTGCGGCGAGAGCTAGGGCCAGCTGCGGGGCTGACTCCCTGGGTGCCAGCAGTGAGCTCAGCCACGAGTAGAAAATTGACTTCTATTGTGGGCACCAACTTCCTCCCATAACACGTGTTGGAAACTTCCAGGTCTTTGTCACCCAGAAGTAACACTACGTCACTAACCACATTTCCTGCAAAGCAACACCCAGCGCCAGACCACATTCAAGGAGAGAGGGCTGCAGAGGGCCATAATATGGGACACATGGCTTATCTGGGGTCACCTGGGCGGCTACTGGATGGCTATTGTAGATGCTCTGTTCCTGAGCCTGTGCTGTGTTCTGAGGTTTGGTCAGCTCCCGGTCAGTGCAGGGATCTTGTATTGACAGCTTTGACGACCCACTGCACCCCGTCTCCCTCCCTCCCTGTCCCCCCCTCCCCTGTCCCTGTCCCCGTCCCCTCGCAGCGGTGGGTGGTGGGAACCGCCGTTTCCTCAGCAGCCTCCCATGTCTGCCTCAGGTCATGGCTCCTCCAGTCCTGCCCTCCAACTCCCAGAAGCATGGGAGTGGATGAGGGCAAAGGCAGCTGCTTGTCACCCAGCGGGCACTACCGTGCAGACCACTAGGCGACCACATCCCCGCCTCCCTGTTCTAGTCCCAACTGCTCTTGGATGCAATGTCCCCAACCCGCCTCATGCCCCTGGGGCTCTGTCCCCCACCCAGAAACCAAACCCACACGCTCAGGAAAATCTAAGCGCCCGAGGTCAGAGCTCTCCTGTGTCCTAGGGACCTAGGAAACGCTCAGTGATGGAAATGGGGTTCAGGAGAAAGGAGGGGCCGCGCCACGTGCCGCCTGAGCAGGAGTAGCACTTGCCTGAAGCCTGATGCTTACCGGCAAGGGGCTAAGAGGCAGGCCCGGAACCCCGCCACCCACTGCACTGTGGGTGACCTGGGGTTGCTGGGCGGTGTATGGAGCCACCAAGATGAGGTGACAGTGGCCGTGCCAGGGCCGCCCCGCTGCAGACCAGTGCAGACCGAGATGCCAGTGGAGCCCAGGCTGAAGCCCATGCCTGGGATTGCAGGTGTGCTGTGCACACCACTCCCAGCTAACACTGGGCTATTTTCCCAAACTCGCGTGATGACAGATCAGTGACAAGAAGGTGCAGGCCTTGGCTTTTACTGAGATTAGACCTGAGGACTTCCCAGCCTCTCAGGAACCAGATTCTCCTCCTGGCCTCTCGGGTACAAGTGGCTGACTGGAGTTTGGTCTGGCTGTGAGGGCATGGCCATGCTTCCATGTCTTCTATCCCTCCCACGGGCCCTCTTCCCTCCCCCCCTCACCTTCCTGAGGCTGGCCCAGATCCGGTGCTGGGCAGCTGGGGGGTGGGGGTGGCATCTCCCTGGGGGAGGGCTACTGCTGGGGCTGAGCCTTTGCTCTGGGATCTGCCTCTTCCTGCTCTTCTGCCATACTTTCCCTGCTGTCCTCAGCCCTGGCTCTCAGAACCCCTAGGACCTCTCACATGCCCCAGAACGGGTTCTCTTGCACAAGGGACACATGGACTCCTCCAGGGCCCTCCAGGATCTCTTGGACCTAAGCCCCAAGCCCTCAGGGGGAATGAGTTGGGAAGGGGCACCCATGGCTGGGTCCATGCCGGAACTGGAAGCTGGGGAGAGAGAAGAAAGGAGAGTCACCAGAGGGACCCAAAGGGAGGCCACATGGGCAGCTGGCAGTCCCCCTTGGAGTCCCTGTCAAACCCTCAAAACAAGGGGATGGCTGGCATGCTGGCATGTTCCCTTGCCGAGAACTGCCAGAGGGTGGAGGGGAGGGTGACTGGCTCCAGGTGTAAGGACGCCTCATCGTACAAACGGAGAAACTGACAGACAGCCAGGGGGCTGCCCACGGCTCATCAAATCCACAAGCAGAACAAGAACCCCAAACTCTTTTTTTTGGGTCAGTTGTGGGGCTTGAACTCGGCCTGGGTGCTGTCCCTCAGCTCTTCAGCTCAAGGTGAGCACTCTACCACTTGAGCCACAGCACCACTTCCGGTTTTCTGGTGGTTTATTGGAGATAAAAGAGTTTAACAGACTTTCTTGCCCTGGCTGGCTTTGAACCTCGATCCTCAGATCTCAGCTTCCTCAGTAGCTAGGATGACAGGCGTGAGCCACCAGCGCCTGGCCTAAGAACCCCAAACTCTTGATCAATCACAGAGCCTCATTCTTGCTTTGTCCCTGGCCCTGGCTCATCACCTGGGAGTTTGATGAGAACACATCCATGGCCTGTACTCAACCGAGGCTCAGGGACAGGAATACATTCATTGGGATCTTAGTGCCTGGAGCATGACTCCCCGCCCGCCTTGGAAGTGTCCCGAACACTCTGTTCTTTCCTAGTCCCTGACAGACGTCTGGAAAATGGGGAAACGGCCCATTTGGAAAGTTCCTGGGGTCTTAGCCTCCGATCTCCAGTCCTGCCTCAAAGGCGCTCACCTTTATTTCCCAGGTTGTCCCTGGGCTTTCGGGCTTCCAGAAGGGCTGAGGAGTGGCTGTTACCTGGACCCGGAGTTCTCTGGGACAGGTCCAGGGGCCAGGCTGAGCCTTCAGGCCGTGGCAGGCTGCCCCCAGCCAGCAGCCGGCCCAGCCAGTGGCTCTCACACTGGCCGGCTGGCTGCACATGGCCTGGCAGGTAAAAAGCCAGGCTTCGGAGGTGACGCAGCCGGAAGTTCTTGGGCTTGCTTCCCTGGGTATTGGGGCACTGCTGCTGCTGGGTCCCCAGGCCACCTTCGTAGATGTTGGATGGTGTGTCTGGGTGGCTGGGGTGTCCTCGGACCCAGCTGACTGCATCTGCAAGGGAGAGAGCCAGGAAGGAGGGTGATGGCTAGCCAGCCCACAACCTGCCTTGAAGACCAATGCGTATGATGGGCTGTATCCCTAGCCAAATGAGCTCTGTTTCCTGCCTTTATGCCCTCCCTTCCTCACATTTCTTCTCCAATCAACAAGCAGCTGTTAAAAAGCGTGGAACTGCCAGGAGTTGTCTTGCACCTGTAGTCTAGCTACTCAGGAGGCTGAGATCTAAGGATCATGATTCAAAGCCAGCCCAGGCAGGAAAGTATATGAGCTTCTTTATCTTAAATGAACCATGAGAAAACGAAGTGGTGCTGTGGCTCAAGTAGTAGAGTGCCAGCCTTGAGCTGAAGACCTGAGCGACAGCGCCCAGGCCGAGTTCAAGCCCCACAACCAACCAAAAACAAAAACAAAAAAACCCTGGAACCTTGGCTCTGAAATCCCTCTCAGTATTTTGATCCTTTTGTACCAGCCTTTTGTGCCCTCTACCCTAGGAAGGGAATTCTGGTCCAAGTATCAGAATTTCACAGTGGGTACAAAAAGACAGTGGCCACCCCAAAGTCCACAGCATGCATGCGTGTCCCTGAAGCTACCCCCATGGCTTTGGGCCCAGGTCAGGACAAGAGGGCATCTCTCTTGCCACTCCTCCTCACATCCTGGCACCTTCTCTTATGCGCAGCTCAGAGAACGCACAGACCAAGGCATCCATGGAGGGCCAGTATGGTTGGGCAGGAATGGCCAGGCCTTGTGTGCAGCAGGGCCCTGCTCTCCCCTGCCTAGGGGATGGGTCTGCAGGTCTCCCATGGCAACAGACTCTTATGACATCACAGTGAAGATCCTGTCCTTCCTAGGCCTTCTAATTTGGGAGAGGTTGTTACCCAGGGCAGGGTGAGATGAGGGCCGCAAAGGAAGTTGCTGGTTCCTTATATGACTCAGGATAAGCCACACCAAACAGATTGTACTCTGGCAAGCTGGACAGTCATTCTCTGGGATGACCCTTGGGGATATCAGCTTCCTCATCTGTGAGGGGGATTGAAGCATGCTTTGAGCATGCTGAAAAGGTGGTTCTTGTGACTAGACCCGATACTTCATTGTTGAACTGTCTGTTTTCCCACACCGTCCTGGGTAGTACCTGTAAGGATGTGGAAGAATTGAATTATATTGCTGGTGAAAATGTAAATGTCACAATTTAGTAATCATCCAGGTTGGAGATGTAATTCAGTGTTAAGCATGGGCTTTACATGAACAAAGGCCCTGGTTTCAGTTCAGTGTACACACATGCACACACACAATCATCTAATTTTCTCTACTGTCAGATGCCATCATCTGTACATAGGGAAAAACACTGGAGAATCCACATTGAAAACAATCGCACCAGATTGTTTTTTTTTTTTTTTGGTATTGAATTCAAGGTCTAATGTCTGCTCCTTAATTTTGTTGCTCAAGGTTAGTGCTCTACCACCTGAGTGTCAACTCTACCTCCAGCTTTTCAGTGATTAAAGAACCTTATGGACTGTTTTACCTGGGCTGGTTTGGAACACCATCTTCAGATCAGCCTCCTAAGCAGCTAGGATTACAGATGGAAGCTCCTGGTGAGCCATTTAAAATTAGCTTTTGTGTCTAGTTCCAGATAACAGTGGATGTTCACTTATTTGTTGTGGATTTACAGTTATTCCCAAAGCCATTTTGTTACAGACACTATTTTTTTAAAAACTTCAAGTGCACTGTCACTTGTTGGATTGGCTGCAATGTATGACTCTATCTCATCTCTGAATTCCACACACCGAGTTCCCTTTTCCTTTGCATACTGTTGAATTCAGTGTTCCATACTATTATCAATCCCATCTGGCATCCGTATTTCAGAGCCAATATTTTTACATTATGGGTATACAGCAAGCTCGCCTTTCATGTGAATTTATTGCGCGCATATTTAAGAAGCTAAACATACATGAAGAAATAGAAGTTTCAAAACATTCGTTATTCCTGCGTGTGCACTTTGCACCACTCAGTTGATGCACCAGTCTCAAGTCTCGCACACACCCAGTTCGATTCTTTTACTTGGCTGATACCACAGTGGACCGGCAGAGGGCGGCCTTCACCACCCCGGCCTCTCCGCCGGGGCGGGCTCAGCCTTCCTCGTCGCCCACCTTTCTGGGCTCCGTTCATTTCCATTCCCAGCCGGTCTTTGTCTCGTTTCCCGAACCCTGCTGTGGGCACCAGGGCGTGTTCCTGGTGGGGACTCCGCGGGAAGGGACCGAGGTTGCCATGACAACCGCAGGCACGCTAGGCTCGCGGAGGAAACTCCCCGAGCGGGAGCTGGCCGACCCGAGTGCGCGCGCACACACCTCCCTGGATCGTCCTCTGCGCGTGCGCCGAAGCCGAGTGCGCGCGCACACATCTCCCTGGATCGTCCTCTGCGCGTGCGCAGCTCGGTAGCTAGCCCTCTCCGCCACTGTGTGTGTATCCTGCATCCACTTATTCGCTGCGGATGCTTTTCTTCTTGACTTTGATCTGGCGACCGCCCCTTTTAAACACACGCTGGAGAGAAACGGTGCTGTGCAAGGATCCGGGAGGGAGACCGGGCTTCATGAGACTGTAGAGCTCGCGAGGGTATATAGACGTTACAGACGCGAGAGAATGAGAAGCATTACGGGACGTACCACCCAAACTGTCCAGCACGCTGGAGGCGCTCAGCGCGTGCCCACCGGTGTCAAACGTCAGCCAAGGGGGTTGAAAGACAGGCGTTGAGAGGCGGCGCGAAGCCCGGACTGGAGTCGGAACGTCCCAAGCCGCCCTCCTTTCCTATGCGCATGCGTGCGTGAGGAGGCGGCTTCGCGTTCCACCAAGTTTGGCCCAGCCGCTCGCCGTCCGGTGTTCTGCAGGTTGCCATAGAAACCCGAGAGCGCTGGGCCCGCGAAAGCTGGGGCGTCGGCGACGCGGCGGGGACCGCGGCTCCCGGGACCAGAGCGCCATGTCTTTCCGCGACCTGCGCAGTAAGGCGGCTCGCCCTTTGTGTGCTCGGGTCCTGCGGAGACCCGGGACTTGGTCAGGCGCGTCTGAGCGCCCGGGCTGGCCGCCCCCTGCGGGCCCCACAGGGCCAGGCCCGGCCTGTGGCTGACAGAACTTTCCAGAACCGGGTGTTGACGGACAGTTCTGTCAGGTACCGGCCACGCGTGGCTTGAGCATCTGAAATGTGACTCTAAAGCGAGTCCGGAAGCGGACGTTAAGCTTTCCGGGTCGCGTTGGCCCAGCCGCCCGGGCCTGCGGGGCCTGCGGGGCCGGCGGGGCCTGCGGGGCCTG